ACATGCATATATATAGATAGATAGATAGATAGATAGATAGATATATAGATAGATAGATAGATAGATAGATAGATAGATAGATATGAGTGAATTATATATTAATGTAACTTGTAGAGAGTTAGAAAGACAAGCGGAAAGATAGAGAATGATATCAAATGAAAGTAGAATATAAAAAAACGAGGAAGAAGAAAGCGGAAAGAGGGGAGGACACAAGTTAAAAGAAAGAAAGAAAGAAAGAAAGAAAGAAAGAAAGAAAGAAAGAAAAAGAAAAAAGAAAGAAAAAAAGCGGCACAGTAGGGCAAGAGAGCGAGTGAGGTGAGTACCAATGTTGATCCCGTCAGCCATATTAGTAACACATTCTTTAATATCTACTCTTGTTACTATGGCAACAATAATGGCAGTGTTGTACCGGTAGGCTCTGACAAATCGCTTCACTCAAAGTCGTTGATGGATAAATTTATTGCTTTTCCTTTCATTTGTTGATTCAGTTGTTTTTTTTTTCTTTTACTTTTTTTATTTGTCACATTTTTCAATTTTTCGTTCGATTTTCTCGTTCGCAAAATTTCATTTAACCACGAATTGCTCGTTCGATGACGCCATTCGTCTTGTAAGATAGAGATTTGAACCGACTTGAGATAGATAGACAGACAGACAGACTGGGATCGAATATAGATTAGAATGCGGCAGAATTATAAGGTACAGAACAAATAGGAAACATTTATCTGAAATGTTTAACTTTTATTAAAGCTTTATCAGATATGGAGAAGAAAAGAAGAAATTCTGCTATTTTTAGTTTTGTATTGCTTGATTTTCATTTGTTAAGCATGTTTCATGTGCAATCGACTTGTTAAATCAACGTTAGTATAATTTGTGGCGTTCGGAATTCAACGATAGACGATGTGTCTATTAGAAGTTTCTAGAAATTAACGGATCCCAAGCTTAACTGAAAAACTATAAATAATGATTTATGTATGTAAGTGCATACTAATTCTAAATAGATGTGTTGGAGTTAGCCTCTCCTTAATTCCCTAATTGTTCACTAGGGGTCGCTCTCCCTACACTATAAATACTGGGCGACTTCTTGCCTCGTTCTCTTTTTCATTTCTTCATTTTCAGCGAACATCTCTCCAATGTGAGTTCTCGCAAAAGACAGCGTTTCCCACTTGTGGGAAAACACCATGAACATTATACTGTCGGAGTTAACTCCTCCTTTAGTACATTAACCCTTTCACCAGGGGTCGCTCTTCGCTGCTATAAATAGCCGCTGAACCTTCGCCTCTATCTCTTTTTTCCTTCAGGCCTGTGCGCCGACACCTTGAGGTAAATCTCTCCTTTTCATCGGGCTTTCAGCTGACAACCTCGCAATGTAGGCGCTAACAAGGGATAGCGTGGAAACACGCTAAGCACAATACACACACACGCACATACAGAATATTCACACACGCACGCACGCACATACAGAATATTCCCATACACTTCATCCTTTGTACTGTTTCCATGTATAGTAACTTGTTATTAATATATATTTGTATATACATATATTATCGGTCTTGTGTTTTGTTTGCTTTCTTTGCCTTCTTCTTTGGACTTAATCAAAGTCCAACCTTTTTATGTAGTTGGGCTCGGCGGGCAGGAGAATCTGAACCTTACATGCGTTTCTTCTACATCTGACTTCACAACATCACAGCCACGGCCCCTCTACAATACACACATACACGTACGTACGAACATTCACCAAATAACAAACACAAATGTTTACACACACGCAAATGTTATTGTCTATGTCCATTGTAAAATTGTGTTGTTTAATACAGATCTTTGTTTTATATATATATATATATATATATATATATATATATATATATATATATATATATCGGTCTCGTTTGTTTGTCTTCTTCGGTTGGAGACAATCTGAGTCCGCCATGTTCTTGTAGTTGGACCTTTCTAACAGGAATCTCTAATACAACAACAC